ATTTCTTTCTTAAAAGGAAATATGGAAGAGTGTTTCTGTACTCACTCAGCACAGTAACTAATTATACATTTTTGGAGCCAGAAAAGGCCTTAAAAACTATCTATACAAGCCATTTTTAAATTAAAAGTCATTATACCTCAAAAGGAGAGTTGAAATTAGAATTGTCAGTGCTTGTTTCCCTAAAACTATAATTTTTCTCCTCACAGCTATGAATATGAAAGAAAATACATTCTTTATTATTTTAAAAATGTATGTGGGTCAGTGTAAAAAAGAGAAATAAATGGGTAAATAGATTCTCTACTCTATGGAAAATTCAGTGATACAAAATAGAGATACAAAGAGTCATGTTTTACTGTTGTTGTTGTTGTTATGCGCCGTAGAGTTGCTTGTTACTCAAAGCAACCCTGTGTACAAAAGCCCTACTCTCTGCTCTGTCCTGTGCCAATCGCATTGCCTCTGACACACCCATCCCGATTACCCCAGTCACTGAATCAATCCACCTCATAGAGGGTCTTCCCCTCCTGTGCTGTCCCTCCACCCTACCAAGCATGATGTCCCTCTCCAAGGAACTGTCCCTCCTTACAACATGTTCTAAGTATGTCAGACGAAGCCCCAGAATCCTTGCCTCCAAGGAGCAGTCTGGTTTAACCCTCTCTAGGATGAATCTGTTTTCTTGGCAGTCCATGGTACAGTCAATACTCTTCTCTAGCACCACAGCTCAAAGGCATGAGTTGTCCTTCTGTCCTTCCTAGTCATTGTCCAACTCTCTGATGCATAACAAGTGATTGCAAAGACCATAGCCTGTATCACATGCACCTTAGTCTCCAGAGAGACACCGTTGCTCTTGAGTACTTTAGAGAGGTCCCTAACAGCACACTTTTCCCATCATAATACGTCTTTTAATTTCCTGGCTACTGGTGCCAAGAGTTTTGACTGTGGAGCCAAACAGACTATTGTTAACAATCTCAGTCTCTTCACCATCCATCCTGATGCTGCCAGTTGGTCCAGTGGTGAGAATCTTTGTCTTCTTGATATTGAACCTCAATCCATACTTAAGGCTGAAGTCCTTGACCCTCTGCAGCAAGCGTTTCAGGTCTTCCTCAGTTTCAGCAAGCAGGGTTGTTTCATCTGCATAATGCAGATTTTTGATAGATCTTCCACCAATCCTGACACCACATTTCTCCTCATAGAGCCCAGCCTCTCATTCAGGTTCAAAAGGTATGGAGATACGATACATCCCTGGTGTACGCCCTTCCCAATTTTGAACCATGCAGTGTTTCCTTGCTCTGTTCTGACCACTGCCTCTTGTCGAAGTATAGGTTTCGCATTAGCATGATCAAGTGTTCTGGGATTCTCATTCTTCTCAGAGTCAGCCACAGTTTGTCATGATCTACGCAAACGCCTTTGCATAATCAATGAAACACAGATAGACATTCTTCTGCTATTCCCTGCTTTCAGCTAAGATCCATCTAACATCAGCTATAATATCCCTAGTACCATGACCCCTTCTAAACCCAGCCTGGACTTCTGGCAGTTCTCTGCTGATGTGCTGTTCCAGTCATTTTTGGATACTTTTTAGTAGAATCTTGCTTGCATGTGAAATCAATGATATTGTTCTATTGTTTCCACACTCTGTTGGGTCACCTTTCTTTGCTTTGGGAACAAATATAGATCTCTTCCAGTCAGTTGGCCAAGTTGTTGTTCTCCAGATTTCTTGGCACAACTTGGTGAGCACATCCAGGGCAGCATCTGTTAGCTGAAATACGTCAGTTGGTATACTATCTATTCCTGGCGCCTTATTTTTTGCTATTTCTTTCAAAGCAGCTTGTACTTCTTCCTTCATCACCATAGGCTTTTGCTGATATGTTGTTTCATTAAATTCTTCTGTGTCTGCCAATTCCTTTTGATACAGTTACTCAGTATATTCTTGCCATCTTCTTTTAATACTTCCTGGATCATTTAAAAGTATTTAGAGAAAAAAAAAATATTTTCAGAGAAAAATGTGATTCATTCTATAAATTTCCCCAAAGCGTTAGTGTCTTTGTTTTAAACCATGTCCTATGATATTGCATGCCAACTGAGAGACCTGTTTGTAGTTTTACCCTGAGCTTTGTGAGAACTTAGTATTACACCCTCTAAAACAAAGAGAGACTACTAGGAGAACAAACAGGTTCGCCTGGAGAGGGTGAAACCATTCTGGTTCTTGGAGGCAAGGATTCTGAAGCTTCGTCTGACATACTTTGGACATGTTAACAAGGAGGGACCAATCTTTGGAGAGGGACGTCGTGCTTGGGAGGGTGGAGGGACAGCGCAGGAGAGGAAGACCCACAATGAGATGGATTGATTCAGTGATTGGGGTAATGGGGGTAGGTGTGTCAAAGACAGTGATACTAGCACAGGATAGAGCTGGGTTTAGGGCTCTTGTAGGTCACTGTGAGTCTCAAGCTACTTGATGACACATAACAACAACACAACTGGTAGCTTAGTGATAAGAAATTCTGCTGCCAATACAAAGGCACCCTGTACAGATACACCGGCTGCTCTGAGGAAGAAACATGGAGAGTCTCCTCCCATGTGGTGAAAACCCACTGAAGGGTCAGCTGAGTCAGTTCTGATTCGATGGTATCCAGTAACCAAATAACCTCAGGCAGAATTCTCTAGTGTCTTCTAGTGGAAATGGGTCATTATAAGCACCTTTCTACTCCGTATTTCTACCAAGTTGTTGCTGGCAAAATGCCTCTTGCACCATGTTTAGAACAACAGGTAGGAATTAGTTGAGCACCGGAGACGCCTAGATAGAGAGCATTTAACTTGAGATGACAGCATGTGCCAGAGGGTGTGCTTCACTGAGAAAGCTACACATATTTCAGGCTAGAACATAGAAGTAGGAGAGGACCAATTCTGTGTAGCTTCAAAATACAGAAATCTAGAATTAATAGGTAAAATTTCCAAAATTAAATAGGTACTTCATGATCTATATCCTAGGAATACAAGACTAATTAATGGCTTAAAAATCAATCCATATATTCCGTCACATTAACAGCGAGGAAAAGGACATGATAATATCAGTAAATGTAAAAGAAATTAATAAAACAGAACATGTTGTGGAGCAACACTGCAGAACTTTACTTATATAAAAGCAAGTGATGTTTACTGAAGGATGGAGATGGTTCAAACCCAGAAATTAGCCATAGTTAACTGAACAAGGCCACATCGCTGATAGGTTCTTATGTTAATAAAGAAGGCTATCTTTAAAAAGCCACAGTTTTTTTTTATAGGGCTGAAAAGGAAACAAAAAGTTACAAAATATGGAATGGGCTGAAAGACCATCAGGGGAGTTAAGGGTAGAATATGTAGAAGCAAGAATTTGGTGGGGATGGATGAGTAACAGTGAGTGAGGTTATTTGATTGCTTAAGGGTGCATGCCACCTACCAATTTATTACAAGGTGATCCCCGAATTGTGGCGGGGCAGATCTTTCTAGTAACTTATTAGTAAACTTCCTTCCTCTGTTATGTTTATTTCTGAGGTCCCATTGTAGGAACAATCTTTTTTTTTTTTATTTTTTTTATTTTTTTTGTGTGTGTACCGTCAAATCAGATCTGACTGGTACAGGAGAAGATTGTCCCTCCTTTTCTCGGCAGAGCATCTGGTGGATTCGAACCGTGTGCCTCTGGGATTGTAGTTGCAGCTCTTTGCCACTAGGCCACCAGAACTCCCCTACTAGGCCACCAGAACTCCCCTTGTAGGAACAATCTGTAATGCTGTACATCAAGACCCTTTGGGCACAAGTAATCACATCTTGCATCTGTTTTATGTAGTTTAACTTGTATTTTGCAGGATGGAGGTCTGCTTATGAATAACCCTTCAGCATTAGCAATGCATGAGTGTAAATGCCTTTGGCCTGATGTCCCATTAGAATGCATAGTATCCCTGGGCACTGGACGGTATGAGAGTGACGTGAAGAACACCGTGATGCACACAAGCTTGAAGGCCAAACTGTCTCATGTTATCAACAGTGCGACAGATACAGAAGGTTAGTCTGTTTGCTTGTTACCTTAAAGCATTTGAACTTCTAGAATCCAATCCAGCTTCTGGAATAACAGATCTTAACTTTTTTTTTTTTAATCTTAACTTTTTAAGAGAGGATATGTGATGTCTTATTTTGTGGATTTAGGAAACACATGAGAGCATATCTTTTTTTTTGCCTTCCTTTCTCCTCATTCATTTCTTGTTGTGTGACCTTAGAATAGACATTTTTCTCCCTCTGGATACTAGTTTGCTTTTGTCTACTTACAGTTAGAAAGGGACAACACAGAGCCTTAGAAATTCTCAGAACAGTAACATGCAAAAGCAGATTTAGACAGATATTTGTTAAGAGTGAAAAGATTAGAATACTTAAAGAATTCTTTCACAACATAGAAGCACACATGAATTAGAATAACTTTACTTCCACCATAGGCACCTCTATACTCTAGTTTCCATAAAAAGGCAAAAGTGATTATTTTAAAATGTAGATGTAATCATGCCTTTATCTTCGATAGAGCCCTCTAGGCTTGTCATGTCACTTAGAACAAAATTGAAAGCCTTGTGTACTTGTTTCTAAGCCAAAACCCACATCCACTGCCATCAGTCCGTTCTGGTTAAATTTATTCCCAAGTATTTAATCTTGTGATTAGCTATTGTGAAAGGATTTGTTTCTCTCAGTTCTGGCTCTGTATTCTTTTTGTCGCTGTAGAGAAATCCAACTGATTTCAGATGGTGACTTGAGAAAAGTCAGCTTTACCTTAAGAAAGTTGATTCCCAAAAAAATTAAAAAACAAAAGAAGATAGATTGGGGAGCTATTTCAGCAGTGAACAAAGTATGACCAAGAGAGTGAAGTGTACAGATACCATAATGTACAGGATGATATATGCAATAGCATTCATTATTAGAGTTTGTGTACTCGTGCTGTTAATTAGTTTGAGTGATGAAATAATCAAGGTTTTGTCATTTTCTTCCCACTATAAGGACAAATTAAATTAGGTAAAGAGGAAAGTAAGAGACTTATTTCAGAATAACTCAGTTTTCCTTCCTTTTTTGTTTTTTTTTTTAAACAGAAGTGCATATAATGCTTGATGGTCTGTTGCCGCCCGACACCTACTTTAGGTTCAATCCTGTAATGTGTGAAAACATACCTCTAGATGAGAGTCGAAATGAAAAGTTGGATCAACTGCAGTTGGAAGGGTTGAGGTACATAGAAAGAAATGAAGAAAAAATGAAAAAAGTTGCAAAAATTTTAAGTCAAGAGAAAACAACTCTGCAGAAAATTAACGACTGGATAAAACTGAAATCTGACATGTATGAAGGCCTCCCATTTTTTTCCAAATTGTGATGCCTGTGCATGTGTGGTCCTCCATGAGTGAACACGTGCTCCGGAGATCAGCAAGAATGGGTGTGATTCAGCAGGAACTGACTCCTAAGTACGTATGAATGATGGGAAATCATGGACAAGTTGGTGCTTGGATCAGCTCCCACAGGACAGAGTATGGTTACAGAGTTCTTATGGAATTAGATTTTTATGATGTTAATACAGTTACTGGAGCTTTAGGAATCTTAACTGTTGTGCTAGTTGATTTTAATAGCTATTGATGTTATATTGTTTGATGTTTTAAAATTTATTAATATATGTGCCAAACAATAAACGGAAAAACAACATATTTGGTATTTTTGCCTTACTCAGTATAGCAGCGACTGGACAGTGGGCTCCTCTTATTGTTGGGGATGAGAATGGTACAGGATAGGACAACATACATATCTGCTGTTCATATGGTCATGATGAGTTATACTCAACAGCACTTAACAGCAAAAGCAACAGCATTGTAATTGTTGGATTTATTTGCTCACTGATTTTCTAGCATGTGGAAAAGTTAAAGCATTTTCATTTACATTGCTTGTTTGCTCTTGCTGCTTTCTTCTGTCCACGTGGTGCCTCTGTCACGTCATCTAAAATGAGGCAGAAAAAAGAAACTTTGTCAAAGTACTTTTACATTTGAAATTTGAGAGAACCAGATACACGTGTCTATTCAAAATTTGTTTATACCAACATTATTTGGTTCAAAATTAAGCAGGTAAAGTTGCAATCAGCCACTTTTTCCTCCTGAAATTGTCAGATGCTGCTGCATGTTAACTTTTCTAAATAATTTATTGAGAGAATATACACTACATCAGCAAAAATAAAATACTGGAATAATCCTTTGTTAGACTAATGTCTTTTTTAAAATTAATTCTTGGTTACAGTATTACCCCCATTTCTTTTTCTCTGACATCCAAATTCTTTTTTAAAAATGTTAAGCTTTGTTTACCTTATCAATACTTTAACATATTACTTTTCACTGAAGTGAATACTCACACACTTACAGGACTCGTTCATTATTCATCTCGACCAAATTCTTCTTTGTTTTGTTACCTCTCAATTTGTCATAGAAACACTTACATCATATTTGTGTTTATCAAGGAAAAGGGTGAGAAAGCCCTCTGGTGTCCCTTTCTTTATAGTTTCCTTCCTATGAGCTATAGTAATAAGCTGTGTTGCCCAGATAGTGGAACTGCCCCTTTGCGATGCTGATCGGTAGAGACCAAGAGGGCGCAGTTTACAGTGTGCTGGAAGGAGTGGAGAGGCTGGGTGCCTGGTTCCACTGCCAAGCCCTCAAGAGTGTGAGCTTGAGGGACATGGGCAGCCTCTCTGGGCTTTAGGTATTTCATTTCTAAAGCGAGGGAAGTTCGCTGTGACATTTTATTCACTCATCTGTTATGCTAACCCAAAATGTGCATTCTGCAAACTTATAAGAGACAGATTGGAAGTGATGAAAATTAAATCAGTCCTACATGGGTGAAATATCTGCCTATTTCAAAGAAACAAAGACAAAAAAATACATTCTTTTTAGAGCAAGATTCAATTCTCTTAACTTCCTAAGTTTCTAAGTAATACGTGGATTAAAATTCTTTTGCTGTTCAGCCTTAGGTATTTCAGAATTTTTATTTCTGTACTAAATGGTATCCTCCAATAGTTCTGTTTTCCCTGCAGGTCCTATTGTTTATTAAAAATAGTGCTTCAGATGGAGCTGTCCCTAGAGCCTCAGAGGCTGGCTGGGATTTCCCCAGGGAGTATAGAGAGCCTGGCCTGGCTTTTCATTACCCTGTCAGGGTTTCTTCTCCGACACCACCTTTTCCCCCCCAGGAAAACACCGATGTCAGAATCCTTTTTGAAGGAAGGAAGTCAGAAAAGATCAGGCTAGTCTGAAGGGAAGAAGGGTTAACAACTTTCCTTTTGGCTCCACCAATCCTCAACCGGCAACAGCTGCCTCCTTTGCATTTACTGCCAATCACTGCAGTGGCTGGAGCCCTGAAATGCAAATCTCAGAATTTTGCTTAACCTCTATGGCGAAGAACTAGTTCTTGACACAGTCTTGACTGTTAAACATCAGTGCCATTAATGTGGCTAAAAGCTTGGATTGTTACATTCAAATGATACAGTTTTAGACTGCCTAAGTAAATAGGAAGTTATTAATGATTTCTAAAGAAACTGTTAGAACAGCCCTTTCAGATTCGTGAATAGGAATGTATACATATTCATGTTCATCTAGAACAATATTACAAAGGTAAGACAAATCGTAAATCAGAATAGTCCTAAGTATTCTTTGTAATAAAGTAAATTTTAACCTAAAAAAATCATATGAAATTTGCATGCTTATCATAAAATCAGTTTTATCCTAACACGATGATGGCAGCTATCCATGTACAGGTGAAGTTGACTTTGCCCCTCAGTCCTTGCTGGGCCCATGGTTTCCTTCTTCCACATGTAATAGACGCAGTGAATGTAAGTCACATTCCAAGCCTGTTTGCGCAGCTCTTTTCACTCTGACAAAAGTACATCCAGTTGTACTGTGTACCTATTTCTTACCTGGTTCCTGTTCCCATTTTATACCTGAAACTTGGTTATCTGAGGAAATACGTAACTGAGATAACCTTCAATTTAGAAGAAAGCCAGTACTTTCCTTTGTGTAAAAACAGTGGATTTTATTTGAGGAAGAAATAGAGCTGTCTTCAGAAGAGCAGCACATGCTATGTGGCTAGGTTATGGATTTACCACCAGGCCAACATGATAGATGGAGAAAGGTTGTTAATTATTTCATCTTGCTTGGATCCACAGTCAACATTCTTGGCTCCAGTAGTCAGGGAATTAAAAGATGAGTTGAACTGGTAAAATCTGCTGTCAAGGACTTCTCCAGAGTGCTAAAGAGCAACAGCGTCAATCTAGAGACTAAGGTGTGCCGGATCCAGGCCATAGTCTTCTCAATTGCTTGCTATGCATCTGAGAGTTGAATAATCAAGAAAGATGACAGAAGAATTGATGCCTTTGAGTTGTGGTGTTGGAGAAGAGTATTGTACCATGGACTGCCAAAAATCAAATGGGTCTGTCCTAGAGAGGGTGAAACCAGTTTTCTCCTTTTTTTATTCAAGGATTTTAAAGCTTGCCTCACCTACTTTGGGCATGTTTCCAGGAGGGACCAGTCCTTGGAGATGGAGATCAGGCTGGGAAGGCTAAAGGGTCAGTGCAGAAAAGGAAGACCCTAGATGAGATGGAGTGACACAATGACTGGGGTAATACAGGCAGGTGTGTCAGAGACAGTGAGGTGGACGCAGGATGGGGAAGGTTCAGAGCCATTGTTTATTAGGATAGCTGTGAGTTGTCAACAACACATCACAACAATGTAGATGGTTTATAAACTAGGAAAAATGATGAGATAAACATTTTAAAATCTAAGTAAATGGCCAGTTAGGCTCCCTCTTGCCCTGTAATTCTTGGATAATTTATAAAAGTAAAGGAATAATGCTCAGATAAGTTGAAAGAAATGTTAATTTACAGCACTTATTCTCAGAAATTTAACTGATGTCTTTGGCAAACATTTTGTGCTTCTTGATTAATTTTTGTATTTAAATTAACTCATTTTCATTCATGCCAGTGGCTATATTTCACTTTGTTATGATTCCTAATGCAAAGCATGCCTTGAAAATGACTATATTTAAAAAATTCTCTGATTTAAAAACTCAAATGTATTCACCATCAGTGTTATTAAAACTTTGCACATATAAATGGATTGAATTATTACTCCATTTTACACTAAGGAAAATTTTATAGCTATTTTAGTAGGGGGGGAAAGTATGTTTTGCTAAGTATTTTAATCTTTATGAGGAAACTTTTTTTTTTCTGGCTAATATCTAGTACTTTCATGCTAAGGCCTATTCTGAAGACATTTAGTCAAAAAATTCAAGTTTTGTAATACCCTTGTACAGATATTATTTCCACTTTCCGGCATATAGTAAGTTAAATACTAGTGAAGTAATCAACATTCTTGGTACTGGCAGTCAGGAAATCAAAAGTTTACTTGCATTGGGAAAGTCTGCTGTCAGGAATCTCCCTAGAGTGCTGAAGGGTCTGGAGACTAAGGTGCGCCTGAATCAGGCCACGGTCTTTGCAATTACTTGCTATGTATCACAGAGCTGGGCTGTGACAAAGAATGATAGGAGAAGAATCAATGCCTTTGAGTATGGTGCAGGAGAAGAGTATTGAACATTCCGTGGCCTGCCAAGAAAATAAGCAGGTCCATCCTAGAGAGGGTGAAACCAAGCTGCTCCCTGGAGGCAAAGATTTTGAAGCTTCATCTTACACATTTTGGGCACGTGGCCAGGAGGGACCAGTCCTTGGAGAAAGACATCATGCTTGGAAGGATGAAGGGACAGCATAGGAAAGGAAGACCCAGGATGAGATGGATTGACACAGTAACTGGAGTAATGGGGGTAGGTGTGTAGGAGTCAGTGACTGGAGAAATTGAATTAGGTCTGTCAGAGATGAAGAGATTGGCTCAGGATAGGGTGGGATTCAGAGCTGTAGTTCATAGGGTTACTATGAGTCACAGGCAACTTGACAACACATAATAACAAAATAGACAAATTACATTGTTCACCTTTATTTTTATCTTTTCCAGTTAGGCTCAAAAAACCCATTTTTCCCCCATTATAAAAATATTTACTGACTGTTTTCTTACCTTAGAACTGGACTTCAACCTTTATATCATCCACATATATCTATTAGCTCTAATTTTCCCTTGAGTGGTCCTTTTCTTTTGTGAGGGACCTCTCAAAAGTACTGAAATGCAACAACCTCAGGCTCGAGACTAAGGTGTGCCTGATCCAGGCTATAGTCTTTGCAATTACATACTATGCATTGGAGAGTTGGACAGTGAATAGGGATGATTGAAAGAGAATTGATACCTTTGAGTTGTGGTGCTGGAGAGTGTTGAATATACCATGGACTGCTAGGAGAACAAACAG